ACCCTGTCCCCACCTCCCCACCCCATCCCAGCAGCCCACACCACAGCTCGGCACCATTCCCACCCCCCAGAGTGGCACAGCTCTCGCCCCCAGACCCTGGGCACAGGGACACCAGTGTGCAGGTGGGTAAATCCTGGTGATGCTTCTCCACATGGGGAGCTCCCTGAGCTGTGACAGTGTGTTGTGCTCCAGCAGCTGGGCTGTGACACTTTTATCTTGCAGCGGGCTTTTTCCAAGCAGCTGGCACTGCTGGAGCACAGGGGTCTTGCTGAGCCCATCCCCACCCTCCTGCCTTCGCAGGGATGTCCTCAGAGTGGAGGGGACCAGCCCATACCCTTGTCCCAGGGAACTGCACCCTCCAGCCATCATCAGGCCCCTCAATGCACCTTTTCTGGGTGCAGGTGGGTTTTAAGCCCTGGGGCACAGCACACAGGCAGTACATGTTCACCCTTTGCTAACCACATCCCTGCCCTCTCCCTCCTGGAGAGCTGCCAGAGCAGATCACGCAGCACACACACTAAAGTTTAGCAAGAATAATTTTTAATTCAGAATTGCACAATTATGTGAATAGTTTATTTAAAATGAAGTGCATCCTGTGCTCTTGTCCAGGCTGGACATTGATTAGATACAGACTTTTTTTTTTTTTTTCAGGCTTCACTGTGTCAAGAAAATGGGGAGGAAACTGTCTGTTTAACCACCCCCAGAGGGTTTGCAGCCTCTGGGCATCAGCAAGGCACCTCAGTCCTCCCATGAGAAGACTTGCCACTCGCCCACCCCAGGGACACCCCCTCCCAGGCAGCATTGGAGGTGCCCTAGCAGCCCCACGCCCATATGGGCTGCTCCAGGCTGTCACCAGAACCCTGCTCGTCCCCAAGCACCAAGTGACACATGAACACAGCACAGCCCTTATTTCTGTGTAACAGCAAGAGGCTGCAGAGCATTTTCAGGAGATCATCACTGTCCAAGTGTCACCACTTCTCTGTCCCCGAGCAGGGCAGGGCTGGGGGTGTCCTCGCTCTTCTGTGCTGCTGTCCACAGCGGGGCCGGGTGTGGGCAGAGCATGTGGGGCAGAAGCCCTGGAGGAGGAGGTCAGCAGCCGCCTCCGTCTTTAATAGCTGAAGGCATCAGGATGGCCCAAAACACGGAGAGGACATGCTGTCCCCCATCAGGTCTGTGGGCCAGTACCGGTCATCCATGTACTGGTTGCTGTCTGTGGTGGGGTCTGCGATGGGGCTGGGGGCCCGGGGGGGTAGGCTCCGAGCCAGCTCTGTCTCCCACTGCACCTCCACCAGCCTGTACAGCTCCATGGCTGTCCGAGCATCCTCCACTGATGAGTGTCCTCTGCAACCCACCTGAGCAAAGGGGGAAAAGCCTCATCAGATAAAGGGGTTGGCAAAAATCCCACAGGTCATGTTATCTGCCTGCTCAGAAGGACAACAGCATGAGGGGTTTGGGGTTCTGGAGATAGCAAAGGTTTGATGCAGCCTAAGGAGATACGTGCATCTCAGGCACTTTCTGGATGGCACAGATCCTGTCCCTGATTTATTCAGATACTTAATTGTCAGCTTGGGAGGTCCTGGGCTCTCACAGCTTGATTATAGCCCGGAACACAGAATTAACAAGGTTCATCTCCATCTCCCAGAGAGCACCCAGGGAGATGAGGGGAAGCCCAGGCTGATCACACAGGCTCATAGCAAACCCAGGAACTGCTCCCCATCTCAAGGTTCCTGGTGCTTACCTGGATCTTTTTCTGGAGCAGGTGCCTGGCCAAGCTCTTGAGGGAGACGCTGGCCCTGCCGGGCAGCCCTGCCCTCTGGTTCAGCATGGGGATCCGGCTGGTGTCTCGGGTCCTGTCTTTTGGGTGGAAGTACTTCAGCGCTTGGAAGTCGTTGTGGATGGCGTGTCCTACCACAATCTTGTCTTTCAGGATCTTCAGGATCTTGATCAGGATTGGGAAGAGTCAGAAAAGGTTAAGACAGGCGGCGCAGCAAAATAAACACCAATTAAGCACAAAATAAACCATTTTGTGTTGAATTAACCTTCACTTCTAGTTTTTTATGTTCCCAGAATGGAGCAGTAACAAGCAGACCAACCCACTGCACCGCTTTGGAGGTTCCCCACCCTGTGCTTGTGTCTCTGCTGCAGAGCAGCTCAGCACAGGCCACCAAATATCCCAATTTGTGGCCAGCAGATAACACACAACCGTTTTTTTTTTTTCTAATTTCTCTCTTTTTCCTCACCTCTGCCTGGGCAGCCTTGAAGGGAATCGCATTCTTCATGTGCTGCTTGGTGATGCCACTCCAGCGTGTCCGGTAGTCCACAATGGGCAGCTCAGGCTTGACGTACTTGTCGTAGATGACATCCCCCTCGTAGCTCACCACAGAGCACCGCGCCAGCTCACTCAGCCTGCCCTGAGGGCCCGTGCCCACCATCTCGCAGTCGATGGCCACATACTTGCCAGGGCGCAGGACTGGGAAGGACACCCGCACCCCCTGGGAGCTGCCATTCCCCACGGAGTGATGCCTGGCTATGCTGTCCGGAGAGGCGGATGGCGACAGGGATGGGGAGACAACCCGTTTGGGCTTGGGGACCTTCCCACAGCACGATGCCATGGTGCCAACCGCCTTGGTGAGCGTGCTGGGTGGCTCCAGCTCCACCGCAGGGGTCTGGCTGCCCAGGTGCTGGCGGGGGCTCAGCAGCCCCTTCTGCTCCAGCAGTGCTCGGCGCTCCATGAACCGCTGGTGCTTGCGGCTCTTCTTCTTCCTGGGACCCTGCGGCGTGCTGGGACCCTCCAGGGACTGGGTGCAGCCCCCTGCAGCAGGGCCATGGGTGTCTTGAGGAGTGGGCGCGGGGACCTTTGGGGCA